ACACACACATATATATTTATTTTCCTTTTTTTTATTTTTCTTCCTGCGGAGTTACAGAGAAAACTAATTTATCTATTAAAGCGAAAGTAAGACTCATGTACCATCTCGAGAATTTCAATTTTTCTGTTGAGTTGTTGAATTGCCAACAGCCAGCTCATAAATTGTCACTGGAATGAGATTATTTGTCGCCAACGTTTTAACAACAGTATATCATTATAAACACATACATATGTTAGGGAAATTACATAAGTGTTTCACATCTTTTTCCTGTGTAATCTTCAGTACACACACATTGAAATTTGTCGTTTCCTGGATAGCAGGATCCTCCGTTTTGGCACGGATTGGAACAGCAATAAGCCTTGAAAGGGGAAGCAATTTAAAATATAATCAGCTTGAAATTAAAAGCTATCAGTTTGTCTTTTGACGTGCGTCCATTCTTGATGAATAACTCGGATGCCTTACTTCGAAAAAAGTAATTAGATATCATATCACTGACCTCTTTTAAGGTATCGTTGATCTCAGCTAGGTTACTGTTTGTTATATTCAATGCAGACGTCAACTGCTTCACAGAATAGTCAAGCTTTTGCAGCTGAAATGACAAAATGATAAAGATTCTTGGCTCAATGAAATAGTTGAGTAGACTCTTAGTTTATGGGAAGAGGGAAGGTGGGGGCTTGCATTCATGGGTTTCTTGTAAATTTTCGTAACAAAATTTTTCATAATTTTCTTGGGCTCGAAATCGATAGTTGTTGGTTTCTTCCATGCTTGGTTTTTCCTCTGTTTGTGTTTCATTTCATCCCAAAAGCTCTTTTTCAATCCTGTTTGTCCTTTAGTATTTTTGATGGTTGCTCAGTTAGTTTCCTCGGTTAGTTAAATCGCTCCTTCATTGGGTTCCTTTGGTTGAGTGGAAGATAGCTGTAAGTTGAGACTGCTGAGTTACCTCCAAACGAATAGATTTCGAAGAAGCAGTCAGATTTTCAATCAAGTAACCTCAAACCTTTGCAGTAAAAGACATATTAACGACTACGATTGACTCCCTTGCTTCGCTATCAGCCTCCGCGAGTTGGATCTTTGATTGGTCCAAATCATCCCGTAAAGCATTAAGCCCCGAACTTGTCTGTGTAGTAAAAATACGAAACTACAGCAGTGAGTTAAAATTATTACCAACAAACTTTGTTAACGATGAAGCACATGAACAATTCAGTTAGGTCAGTGTGTCTAAGCAGTCGTAGCTGCTATTTGAACCCTTCAGNTTTACGTACTCTCGTGCCCTGTTCTTTAAAACTTATGATTGAATTTTGTCGAAGATTAGTCTATTTGCTGAGTTCGATCGTGTCTGATAAAAATTTACCTCACCTTGATTGCAGTACTGTTAGCTTCCTCCAACTCAGTGTTTGTCCCATCCAAGTCAATCGTCAACTGAGCCGAAGCAGCTTGAAGGTCTCCGAGCTGAGGAGATTAATTAATTATTCACTATGATATTGGTGACATTCAACGCGAATGAAGCTTCATTCAGCCTCCAATCCTAATTCTATTTCCCATGTTGTGCGGTATATTCGCCAACTAGCTATACAAACAATTTCCCCATTGATAAAGTTTGAGAATTAGAAAAGGACGATAGTGTGTGAGTGATCGGAGTCCTATGTGCCAGTTATGTCAGTACTTTGGGTCGTACATGAAGAACCTGTGCAAACTATGAAGAAAAAAAAAAGGCCACAGTAGATCCACTTGTGATAAAAGAACATCTCGGTAAAAGAAAGAAACCTAAACCTCAGACGTACTGACCTTTAACTTGACGCTTGTGTTAACAGCTTCTAAATCGACTCTTGCAACAGCATCAGAAGCCATCAGCTGATACCTTGCATCGTTTGCATCTTCTTGGATTGTGTTTAGCCATATCTCTGTCTAAAGGCAGAGGTCATGAAGAAACTTCAGTGAATCTGAACCATTCGGTACAGGTGCACGATTCATAAATTAATGAATTATTACCTGCATGGTGGTATTCAAACGTGCTTCCATCAGGGAAGAAGCTATGTCATCGTCTTGCTTTTGAAGTTGGTTTCTAGTCATGTTCATCCGAAAAAAAAGTCATTGTAGTAGTGCTAAGTATTATAATGAGCTCAGTCCTCTCCAAAGCCAGTCTAAACCGGTGTGTTTGATAATTGCATTCGGAGAGACCATCTCAGTCTGTTGAAGAAGGGTTACTTAAACTTAACCGACATCCATAGCCCACAACGTTAAACCAGATATCTTTACTGAACAATT